GGGTCTTGTGCACATTTTGAAGAGGTTGGGTGGACATTAGTTGGTTTTTTTTTTTTTTTTTTTCAGAGTACAGCATCATGTTTTTGAGTTGGGGGATGAGAAGAGCTTTAATTCTTATTGATCTAACAGAATTTAGCAGCTTAAAATACATAGAAGATTTCCTGTCCTGGAAATGATGGCATGAATGTGCTAACTACACCAGATGTGTTTATGTCATAATTTAATGTGAGTGTCCAGAGATCGGAGGAGTAAACAAGCAGCCTTCATAAAAGCTGATGGAGTGTGAGGATGAGGTCAGTTGGAAGGAAGGAAATAAGGAAAGAAAAATCTGCAGGCACAGCTGCACTCTGGTGGAGAAGGGTCACGCTAGTGGTCTGTAATGTCATCGCAGGGTGGATGGGGAAAAATTTCTCCTCAGACTTTTATTTATTTTATTTTATTTTTTCTTCTCAGACTTTTAATTGAGGAAAGGATGGAAAACACCTTCCTAGTGAAGCACTGGCCAACTGGGGAGTCATTTCCACACCCAGGCACCGGGGGCAGCAGGAGCAAGAAGGAGCAAAACAACATGGCTTTAAAATGATCCCCTTTTGGGGCTGGAGAGATGGCTCAGTGGTCTGAAGCACCTACTTAGAACAAGCTTGGCAAAGCATCAGGGACCGCGGTTCGATCCCCCAGCACCCATGCCAGCCAGCCCTGCCCCCTGGTGGGCTGAGCTGGCCACACACACACACACCTCTCTCTCTCTCTCTCTCTCTCTCAAAAAATAAAATAAATAAATAAAATGATCCCTTCAGACCCTCAGAGAATGCAAGACTGTTTGAAGGGATTGACTTCTCACAGCCTGGGGGGAAAAGGGAAGAGAGAAGAGTGTGTAGAGTCGAGGGAGGGTGTCCTAAAAGACTTAGGGTTGGAAAATAGCAGAGGCACTGGAACTACTGAACACAGCAAGGCACAAAATGTTCGCATATCCAGGTATGTGGCCTCTGCCTCCCTCCCAACTTCTTTTCATTCACTCAGCAAGCATCATCACTCAGCATAGACTGTGTGGGGCTCTGGGGATTGAAAAATGAATAAGGTTGCATCTGGAATCCTAAATCACATATCCAGTCCACCAGCTGTGCAGAGGGGGAGGACGGGGATTGCTGGGACAAGACTCATTGCATAGTCTCCTAGCAGCCAGAGCAAGGTATGTCGATGTACAGAACCATCAGCGCCAAGGGCAGCCACGGGAGGGCTTGGTATGTTTCCCAGACAGGGTGAGGTTTGTGAGGAGACAAAGCGAGTGTGGGAAACTCAAGGGCTGCCGGTGTTACTGAAAGGGGAGGACTGAGTTTTTGGAGACAGTGGAAGAAGACATGTGTGCAGAGGAGGAGAGGGCTGAAAGATCCCTGTCTGGAGGGTAGCTGCCATTTCTTAACCCTGGAAACCTCCAGCTTCTGGTAGGGGTGGCTCTGCAGACTTCTCAGGCCTTCACTATTGCAGCTGGATCTCAAGGACACAGTTTCCCACCTGTGCCAAGCCACTGTGAATAGAACTTCTTTCAATTCCAATCATAGGGGTCAAAGGAAGAGGTGACCAGAGGCACTCATAGACATGCAGCCCCTGCCAGAACTGCCATACGTAGTTGTCATGATGACTTCATCCACTAGGTACTGTTAGTATTCCTATGTTACCATGAGAGCAAAAGACCAGAGTCAGAGAGGCTGGGCGTCTTGTTCAGAGTCACACCAGTGAGCCGTGGACCTTGCTGACATAAGCAATCTGACTCCCCGGCTTCAACTCTTAGCCCATGTGCTATTCTGCCTCAAGATTATGAATACACAGTCATGAGCAGGAAGAAACACAGCCTGAGATTTCTCCCCTTTGTGAGAACAGGGTGACGGAGACAAGTCCCATAGCACTTGAGCATGCCACATACCAGTGCAGCTCCCAAACCTGCCGGCAAGGATGTTCTGCTTGCCTAGTTCTGAGCCAGGGGACGGCCTTGGCTTCATAGTCTTTTGCCAAAGGTCTTGTCATGCCACAGGAGGGTATCTAAAGTACTAGCCACTGATGGCTACTACTACTTCAGTAATTCTGATGGGCTACGTGGGGGCCTGCTCAGCTCTCCTTCTATCCCAATCTGCTTCCTGCCTCCTGCCACAGGGTCAACCCCATGGCGTATTTTAATGAGTTGCCCAGTCACTCAGAGCCCGTTTCCTAAGAACCCAATCTATGAGGCCAATTCCATTGGCCAGAGGGCTATATCCTCTCCGTCTCATTGGGGACATCCTTTCATGTTCGTTTCCTCTGATTTTTTCACGTTCCAGATTAAGAAACTAAGAACAAATGTTTATACAATTTTCAAAACTAGGCTATCTACAGATTCAATCCTCCTTTCTTTTCATTAATAGACTTTAGACTTTAGAGCAGTTTTAGGTTCGCACAAAAATTGACAAGTGGTACAGAGGGCTCCTCTTACTCCTGTCCCACTTCAGTCTCCTCTACTTTCAACATCAATTCCTTTAGTTTTGGAGATAGAAGGGAGACGGTGGAAAAATCCTTTACAATCAAAACTTTCCTTAGAATGCTTTATATGGACTAGTCATTGCTTTCTAAGATGTTTCTATGTATCTTTTCTCATACTACTGGGGATTGAATTCAGGACCTTACACTTGCCAGGCTGTTGAGCCATCTCCCTGGCCCATACTCATTGCTTTTATCTGTGATACTGGGAAGTGAACGAAGAGTCTTGCCAATGCTAGGCAACCTCTCTACCACCAGAGGTAGCCCCAGCCCCACCCTCTGCTCTATTAGTTGGTGCTATTTTAATATCTGAGTAGTTGAAAGACTTAGTTCTACTGGCTCTCTTCTTGTACCTTTGGGCAGACTCTTTAAACTTTAACCCCAGCATTTCATTTCTGGAGGTTGAAATATAAATTCTGCAAGGATTTAACTAGATAACATACTCTGACCATAGTGCCTGGTGCTTCATAAGGCCGTGAAAACAGGCATTAGAAGATGGCACAGCCCAGGACTTCAGTGTTTTCATTTCCTATGGCTTCAGTACCACATTGCTACAACTTGGTAGACCAAAACTACAAATTTATTCTCACACTTCTAATTCTCATGCTTCTGTGATGTCAGAATTCAGTTTCACGGTCTGAGAATCAAGCTTCTGAGGGAGAATCCTTTTTTGCCCTGGCTCTTACAGCTTCTGGTGGCTGCCTGCTTCCTTGGCTTGCGGCCACACCACTCCCAGTCTGCATCCACGGACACTGTGCCATCTCCTCTCTGTGGGTCCAATCTCCTCTGTGTTCTTGTTGTAAGGATGAGAGTGGTTGCAGTTGGAGGTGATCCTGTTAACCTAGAATAACCTAGGTGCGAGACCCGTCATTTAACTATGTCTGTGAAGATCGGGGATTAGAACCTCTTATCTTGGGGCAGGACATTTTTCAGCCTGGCAAGCAGTTGGTGACAGTTCCTGTTCTGTGTTAAAGAACAGTTGTATATATTTTACCTTGCAACTGCTTAAATAGGCCTTTGTTCCTTCCACCTTGTCATTAAGAAATATATTCTATTTCAGTACTCAAAAGCAACAGTGACTGAGAAAGGGACCAGGGACCTTAAAAGTCTCAAAAGAAGTGACTATGGGGGGTGGGGAATCTGTCTAATGTTTTAATTTTTTTAAGGTTTTAATTAATTGTGGACTCATTCTAGCACCGTGTCCGCAATTTACATTTCCAGACACCTCTGTTCTTCAGGAGAGTGGATACAACGTCTGGGAAAGCGATTTTCTCCACTCTCCTGGGGATTCTTAGCCTCAGCCAAGACTTGGTTACCCCTTACAGAACCGCCCCCTCCCCGTATTCCCCTTCCTGCCTGCCGGGTGAGTTGTCATCCCGACATGACTGATGTTTTATTGGAAGGGCGGGGGAAACAAAAGCACCAGCAAGCCTGAAAAGTGAGCAATCCTCTGTACAGTATTTACTGAAAGGGTTCCCTCGCGGGAAGGCTTCCAATTCTGAATTAAATAGAGGATGACGACGACCCGGATTTGGCAGTCCTGCAGCTGTCATTAGCTAGGGACCTCGTGGGTCCCATCGACGAAGCCTGGCCGCGCCCTCGGTGGCGGCCAAGGATTTTCATCTGTGACAGCAGCTCCCGCAAGGGGGGCGCGCGGTGGTGGCTAGGACTCGCGGGACCTGCGCTGGGTTCACACAGAGGTGCGTGGGTGTTGGGCCCCTCTGGGCTGAGGCTTTCAGACCCTCCCACTCCCGCCCCCCGCAGGCGGCAGCCACTCCCGAGCGGCGCGGGCCGGAGCTGTAGGGAGGCGCAGGTCTATTTATCCTGGCTCGAAAGCCGGATGCTGGGGCTGTTCCAAGCTACCGGCAGACCTGCTCTGATCCTGGAGCGGGCAGGGTCTTTCCGAGGCCTTAGGATCCAGCGCCCGCGGCTGGCCAGGTGAGGGCAGCCGAGGTGCGCCAACTTGATGCACAGAAAATATTGGGGGGACGTGGACGTTCCTTTGTGGACCAGGGGACGCCGAGTTGGTCCTGTCCGGGTCCCCGAGGAGGTGTGTCTATCTCAGGGTTGCTGGGCGAGTGAGGACGAGTTCCACCGCGGGGTACTGGGGGCTCAGGGGAGGAGGTGGGTGTGTGTGTAAGCTCAGGTTCGGCCCGCGGTACCCGGCGGCAGTGTCAGGCTCGGCGAGGGGTGCCCTGGAAGAGTCCTACCCCCTCTTCAGGCGCGGATGGGGCCCTGCTGCCGCGTGCGCCCGGGCGCTGCTCCCGCTGGCGGCGGCAAGCGGCTCTGAGCCCGCAGGCTCGGCTCTCGGCCCGCGGAGGTGGCAGGCGGAGTCCTGCGCAGCCCCCGCCTTCCCGGTCCCGGGCTCCTCCCCCGCCCCGCCTTCCCGGTCCCGGGCTCCTCCCCCGCCCCGCCCTCCCGGGCCCCGGCGCCCGCCCCATCCGCAGCGGGGCCCGCGGAACACAGCCGGCGGCTCCTCCGGCCGGCGGAGGCTGAGTGCGATTGTCGTGAGCTGACCCGGGACCGGCGCCGCCGGGGACTCGCTCCGCTCCGCGCGGCCGCCTCCGCCTATTGTCTCGGGGCCCAGGCCAGCGCGGCGGGACGCGATTCCCTTCCTCTTCCTCCGGGAGCAGAAGGAGCGCGAACGCCGAGCGGAGGCCCCGCGCCGGGTCGGGGCTGGCGGAGGCGGAGGCGGAGGCGGAGGGACGCGCGCGCCCCGAGGACAGCGGCTCAGCTCCGGGCGGACGCGGCTTCTGCCATGGCGAGGAGATCCGGCCCCGACCCCGCGCACGCCGGCGCCGCCCGCCCTCTCGGGGCCACCGCGTAGGCACCTGAGCCGAGTTCCCGACGCCGCAGCGGAGGGAGGTGAGCGGCGCTTGCCGGCCAGGCTCCGCCTCCTCGGCCGTCCCGGGCCCGCGGGTGCCGACCCCGCCTCGCGCACCTTGGCGCCCCGCGGGGCCGCCTGGCTCCCGGGGGCGGTGCAGCGCAGCGACAACTGCCAGCCCCGGCGGCCCCGCTCGACCCGCTCGCCCCGATGCCGAGCGCCCGCGTCCCCGAAGTCGGGGCTTGCAGTGAGAACGGTTCCTGGGGCCAGGGCCTGATTCCTGTTTTCTCCTTCGCTTTTCTGCTTGTGCTCACGGGAATGGGAACAATGGATCTTTGAAAGTCAGCGTGGACAGCCGTAAACTTTCGGGGAGGGCCAGGGCCAGGCAATGAACCGCACAGGAAGCCGGCTACAGTGCAAGGTCAGGGCGGCGTCCCCCTCACGCTTATCCTCGGTGGGGGATCTTTGTCTCTGCCGGTTGCCCTGGGCTGGCGGGGGGTCCTCCCTTCTTCACCTGGCCTTTTCTTAGTCTGAGGCGAGGCTGTAAAATTGGGCGCAGCTTTGCCTTCGGATCCGCTCTCAGCTTTGCGTTGTAGGGGTGGGCGGTCCTGGGTGGGCGTGGGACCCGCGGTGGGGCAGGTAAGGCCCCGTAGTTATTGCACTCTCAGTGATGGAGCCGAGCCCTGACCCCGGGTTCTCTGCTGTGGGGTGATGTGTGTCACCAGAGCTCTCCGCGGAGCGGAAACAGCTCTTAAATAAGTCTCCGGTAAGGTTAGGAAAACAGACATTGATAGATGCTTGCTTTCATCAGCAGCTGAGGTTAACGATGGATGGACTGATAATTTTCCCAACTTTGGTCCTGCACTGGAGCGGCGCACTACTTGGAGTTCACGCGCCTTGTGCCATAGAGACAGCCACTTGCAGCCGGGCTGCGCAGCTGCACGTGTTGAGGGTGTGCAGAGGTCTTGTGAGTACTTGCAGTGTAAAGTGAAAACAATTAGGAGAAAAAGGGAGGAGGAGAGGCTTCATCGGAGTTTGGGGCTGATTGAATTCCCAGGGCTGCCAGGCGTAACCGCTGGAGATGGCCGCTCAAAACAAATACACGTGAAACACTTTGCCCTATAGTTCTTTGGGTGGGTAGCATAGAGTTATTAAAGTTTAGTGGATCCGTGAAAAGAACTTACTCTTGCAGAATTCGTCTGGTCATCACGTTCAGGCTGTGTTACCTGTTCAAGGATTCTTTAGGTTTGCATTTCTGGGCAGAGCAGAGCAGTATGCAGTGCACTAGACCTCTACTTAGAAAACTGTCACATTATGGTGTCTTATCCATTGTATACATTGAAATGATTCCATTCAGCTATCTGTGTCTGAAGTAGCCGGTGAGGAACTTCCAGGTAGGCTTCCAGCTCCGTCTTGCCCATGCTGTTTTATCTGATGAGTGTGTATCTGTGCTGAGAAAACCAGGTTAAAAGGGCATGCTGAATCATCCATCACCTGTAGATGGGAGAGTAAGTTGAGGACTAGTTCCGTGTGTGTATGTGTGTGTGTGTGTGTGTGTGTGTGTGTATGGGGTTCCCCAGTCATGGTTAATTGACTCCTCCTTGGTGTAGCTTGTAACTAGTGAAGTTTTGGAAGCCTCACTTTCACAACAAGGAAACCTGAGTGGGCCAGTGTCTCTGATCTTCTGGTAGACTCAAGCCTGCCCTCATTTTCTAGACTGAGCTACCTAGAAAATGAAAAGACAAAGTACACTGCTGAGTCATTTCTCAAGTTGAAAGTACTCCATACTAGCTGTGTGGGCTTCTGGGCAAGTTTCAGAAGTTGAGAAAGAGGAATCACATTGCAGAGAGAAAACACCAATGATCACAACTGGATTTACAGTTTACTCATAGTGGGAATACTGTATATAAATATCTATGTGGCGAAGTGCTTTAAAATATTTATGAGTAGTATATCATCACTCTGACCAGCCAGCCACCTAGCTCATTTTTCCATTGAATTAAGGTATTGATCACCTGTTGTGTGCCAGGCCTATGGAAGGAATTTCTCGCATTGTGGACTGTTTTGTTGGTAAAAAGAGGGAGTTGAAGGGAGAGGTTGCAGCTGCAGAAGCCTAAGGGTATGAAGGTACCTGACTGTAAAGATGAGAAAGACATGCTCTTCCGTGGAAATGAGGCTGGCAAGTGGGCAGGGGATGACAGGAAATGAACAATGAGAAGGACCAGTAAGTGTGTAAGTGCTGAGGAGAATTTTTTAAGAAGCCAGAGGAGGAAGTGAATGGGGTTGGGGTGGTAGAGGAGTTTTTAGGAAAAAAATATATTTTTGGTGGCAGTATGAGTGATTGCATTCAAGGTTTCACCATGCTAGGCCAGAGCTCTACCACAGAGCTACATCCCTAGCCTAAAAAAGAGATGAGATTTATTAAATCAGACACAATAGTGGAGACTGAAAATTGGTGCCATGGCACCATTTTGAAATGTAAAGAACTTGAAGTTGGACCAAGGTTTAGAAGAAGTCTCTGATAATTGCTAATCATTTGCCATTAGAGAATCCTCTACTTTTATTCTTCTGTAAAGTAAATTTTTAAATGTTTTATGGACCATCCCGAAGATTTAATTCGATTTAAATTTACTATTTATAGGACTAGTTTACTGTGTATGCTACAGCTGTCTAGTATGAAAAGGTTATTTCAAGATATGCATGTGTTTTAAAACTATAAGTAGTTAACCATAACTCAACCAGTTGATCTGCTACAGATTTCCATTGTATTGGCCCTTTTCAGAATGTTCTAAACCCCATCTTGGGAGCAAGTCTTTGGACTTCAGGCTGGCTGTTGGTATGTGGTGCTCCTCACTTGTCCAGGCCTCTTCCCTTCCCAACCACTGGAAAGCATTTCATTCCATTTGAGTTTTGAGCATTAATTAGAAGAAATGGCTGGCTACTACAGTAATTTAATGAAGAAAGGCTTGTCTGAGTTTGTATTGTAACATCCATGGTTGTCCCCATGCCTCCCACACCAAACTGGTGCTTCAACACTCTTCTCACCTAAGGTGAAAATGGGAGAGAAAAAAGAAAAACAACACTATGATTTTGCATTTTTTGAGGCCATGAAACTTAGCGGTTTTCTCCATTTGTAAAGGGAAGTGTAGTAATTCTCAACTAGACAGTTGAAGAAAGGCTGTTCTCTCACCAGTAGCAGCTGCTGTCCAGGGAAAGCTTGCATCTGTAAGCTTGCTTTAGCTTTCTGCTTGAAATGGACTTCAGCTCATCTGACACCTTAATGGATTGTCTTTGGTGCAAAGCCCAGCTCAGATATTTAAAGCTATCAAGTTAAATATGACTGCTTTGGTGAGAGGAGCTAAGTTCTGTATGAACATTTTCTGGATGGTGCTCCATATGCTGAATCTTAGCATGCAGTTACAAGGAATCTTATAAATAATGTTAAAATAAGGAAGTTAAGACCCAGAGAGGCTACCTAAGCAGTTAAGGTCCTATAGTGAATTAATGCCTGAGCTGGGTCAAGATACTCCTTTGTTTCTTGCGGCCAACACTTTCCCCTCCTCCTATGCTCGTTTATTCTTGTTTGGCTTTGTTAGCAGTTGCTGTTTTAATGGTCAAGTAATGCATATTTGAGTGCAGGAGTCTATTGGGCCCCAGCTTAAGGCTGATGTCTTCTTGTTGCCGAGTTCTTACGCATTAGGTTGTGCACGTAGTGGGTGATGTTACTTCTAATGGGTTTCTATCAAATAAGGAAGTAAGATTTAAAATGTTAGCCTTCCTGGCCTTTTCTATTACAAAAAAGAGACACATTTGAAAACAAGTAGATACTTTTTCAAACAAGCAAGTTCCTGGAAACATTCAGATTTGCCTTGTGAATCATCACATAAACGCATACTAGAAATAGTTTGTGTTCTTTTGTTTTCCCTGAACTTGCTTTGAGGAGCCTTTAATGGCGGTTGTCAGGAAATGTGTTCAGCAAAAATTTTGTTCCAGTTCTAAAATATCAAGGCATTGCTGGTTGCTGTGTACATTATCAAAATAAATGCGGCATAGGGTCCTTCTGAAAATATCTCTTTTTAACAAATGACAGATTAGAAGCTTTCCTAATGAACCAGTGCTTTGATCTACAAGTCGAATCTGTTTTAAAATTATTATTAGATTAGCCGTGTAACCAGATACCTATTTTCTTTATATCCTGGAGAATGACAAACCTTTTATATTTGTTGTATCAGGGAAGTCTGGCATTATTTTATGAGAATTTTGTATTATGAAAAATTGCTGAGGAGAGATGATGGCATTTTTTTTTTTTTAGGGAAGGGTCTACAGGGTGTTCAGAGTCTCACTGCTAGATCAGGCTTTTTAGTGATCCGCCTGTTTATAGCCTCCCAAGAGCTAGGATTATAGGCTGCGCTACCACACCCAGTCTCAACTGCTGTGGCTGGCGTGGTAGGCCCAGGAATCGAACCCCTGGCCCCTGCACCTGCTTGCAGGCAATGATGGCATTCTTTACTATACTCATGATTTTATTCTTAGCTTTACTGTATTAAGAAATATATTTAATAATACTATATTCAGCTGCTCTTCTGACATTGGTGCCAGAAAACATTGTAATTTAAGACAGTCCATACTGAGTCAGTGAGAAAAGAACTGTCCACCTGACTGTGAGTTAGATGGAAGTATGTATCTTGAAACATACAAATATCTACTATCAAGTAAATGTCTTGGTTGGGTGTGGCTACTGAGTCTCTGAAGAGTAAAACCTAGAGCTGACAAGATAGCTCAGTGGACTAAGCATCTGCTTGGCAAGCACAGGGACTGGGTTCGATTCCTGGCACTACATGCTGTGTTGGCCCTGTGGCACATGCTTGTAATCCCAGCAGTGGGGAGGCTGAAAATTGGAGGGTCACTCCATAAGTGAGACCCTTTACCAAATACATTTAAAGAAAAAGTGTAAGAACTATTATTGATTTAGAGTTTACCTAGTTATTGGCTTGCTCTTGGGAGATCATAAGCCTTCTTTTGTCATAAAAGTGCCTGGTAA